GGGGGGGTGACGTGTAAGGGAGTGAAGGGGAGAATGGGAAGAGGGGAGAGAGAAAAGCACGATGCCCTCACCAGAAATATGCGAGCCTCACCTGTTGAGCGAAGGTGTTGAAGTACTCCGACACGCCCAACTCTCTGTCATTCTGGTACTGAGGAGCCATGTCCTGGAGTGTGCGGAACAGAAAAAAGGGGGGCGGGCGCAAAGATTATAATTAAAGATGTGTTTTATTTAAATAGCATACGACAAAGAGAGTGCAGCAAGAAGAAAACCAGGGTACCATAGTGTAAAATGTTGCTGTCCACGTTAGCTTTGATTTTCAATATGTCAAGTGTATTTAGTTGATATTGTGCACTATTTTAGCTGAAATGTTACCATAAAACCAACCGATAATAGGTGTTTGTAGTGGAGGGGGGGATACTCTTTGTAATAATTTTACAACAGTTTTAACAAATATGTCAGCAATCCACTTCCTAGTTTCACCCCAGAAGGTCAGAAGTACATACCCCCCCCCCCTCTCCCATGTGTGTCTGTCTCTCTCTCTGTCTGTCTCTCTGTCTGTCTCCCCCCCTCTCTCTCTCTCTCTCTCCTTTTTTCGCTTCCTCTGAAGAAAAGAGAAGTTTACTGTTCATTGAAAGCTATGCCCTCGCAAACATCTAAGCACCTTACAATAGCTTACCGGCCAGTTCACTGTTCTGTCTTCAGCGAGCACCGTGGGCTGAAAGAAAAAGAAAACAACTACGAATCAAAAGCAACCTAAAAAGATTACTATACTTAGGTAAAGTACAAAAGGATTATAATCAAACTCTTTTATTTTCAACATCTGTTTTGTTTTGAGTAATATTTTATCCGATTGGAATTATTAGTGAGTCATTATAATGACTCTCTTTATTTATTGAATGACCATGATCGATATAGAACAAGAGCAAACAAAAGGTGTTATGTAAAATGAAATATATGTTTTTGATAGTGTCTAGGAATGCACACAAACACACAGACGAACAGACTGGCAGAGACAGATACACATATTCTCTCTCTCTCTCTCTCTCTCTCTCTCTCTCTCTCTCTCTCTCTCTCTCTCTCTCTCTCTCACACACAC